TGGTGTGGTACATATTTGAAAATTGGAAGGTATAAAAATGATGATTGGTGTCATGGTTTGATAAACTTGTGAGCGACCATCGTCACCGGAGATGACGCCGAGATTAGGGATAAGAGTTATGTATTCGTTCAATTCAACAGTTGAAATTTTAGACTTCTCCAAATACTACACCGAATACATTTCAAATAATATCCTCTTTTAAAGGTCTTTCTTTCTCCTTCCCTATTTAATCGAGTAGGTCAAATATAGTATTAAGTTTTTTAATTTCATTCAACTTAAATTAGTACCCTCTGTTAGTAGTTGATGTTGATTTTTTCGGTGAGGTCTACGCAGGTGCCAAACAGGTGTCACGTACGTATGTCTTCGTTTTCAAGATCTTGACATATGCACACAGAAATCTAAGTAGAACTCAAGTTTGGGCCAGCAGGTATGGAGCAGAAAGAACAAGAAGACAGTGATTTCAAGGGTGAGAGTTTGCTTGAGAGTGCATGCTGAATCTTCACAAGACCTATACGTATCGTGGGCTCGACGTTCTCATTTCGGTGCTCTCGAAGTTGTCGTGATGCACTATCCACATTGAGGGTGGAGGAGAGCCCGACATGTTTTTACGATATATCTATATGTGGCACCTAATGGCTTTTCCTCAATCGGTAGAGTTGGTTTTTTTTTTTTTTTTAATGATTAATTATGACTAGTTGTTAGCATTCTTGTGATTGGATTACACCTTTTTTTCTTTTGTTAGTATATGATTTTATGATAGTGTTGGATCTTTTTTTAGTGCATTAAGATATGTTAGGTTGGTATGGTAACCCATTTGAATTTGGTTTTTTTTTTTAAGAAAAATTAAGTATTTATAAATACTAATTATACCTATGTGTTATTTCTTCGTTTTGTTATCTACTTTTTTTTTTATATTTTTAAAATTTAAGTTAATTTTTGAAAATGTAAGTCCGTTTGATAATCATTTTATTTTGTGTTTTTTGTTTTTTTGTTTTTAGTTTTTTAAAAATAGCGTTGTTTATAACCATTTCAATTTTCTACTTTTTTTCCAAAAACTATTTTGAAAATCTATTAAATTTCAAAAAATAAAAAAAATTTCAAAAACAGTTTTTTTTTTAATTTTTCAAAATCTCTTTTTTTCTTCTGATACTCAACTTTTTTTTCTTTTCCATATTTATCTCTAAAAAATTTCTTTCTCGCTCTCAAATTTTGTTCTTTCTAAATTTCTTTCCACGAAATTTATTTTTCTCTTTATGAAATTTTCATATTTTGAATATTTATTATTATTTATCTCTCTTCAAAATTTTTATCTTTATTTTTATTTTTTTACTTTTGTTCTAACAAATTAATTTTATTTTTCTTTTTAAAAATTTAATATTTTTCCGAACTTTTTTCTCTAAAATTTCTTCTTTTATACTTTTCTTTCTCTTCCTAATCTATTGAAATTTATATATTGTTTTCTCTTTCAATTTTTTTCGCTGTAACTTTTATTTATCTCTATATTTATTTATTTTCTATAAAAATTATATTTTGAATCTTATTTTTTTCCACGATAATTTTTCTCTTTCTTTATAATTTTTTTTCTTTTAACATATATTTTCCTAACAACTTTACTTTTTCTCTCTAAAATTTTTCTCTTTGTCCACTTTTCTTTCACTAATTTTTTTTCTCTAAATCTTTTTGTTTATCTCTCTAAAATTTATTTACATCTCTCTAAACTTTTATTTTCATGTCTTTACATTAGGATGACAAAAATTTCCGTAGGGTCTGGTTCCGCTCCAAGAATAGGAAATACATGTCCCGACCCCATCCCTGATTCTATTTTTTTGAATAATTAATATATATTTATGACCCTTTTTTATTTTTTTAAATTCTAAAAATAATTATATTAATTATAAAACCGGTAATTTTTCTCGAGARCATATCTCGGACTGAAGAACGAGGTGGAGACGGTGACTAAAAATTTTAACGAGTACGAGAATAGGGGAGAACATCTTCACTCCCACCCACACTATTGTCATCTCTACTTTACATAGAATTTTCTCTCCCTACTATGTATTTTTAATTTTCTAACTTTTTAAAAATAGAAAACTAAAAATGGTTACCAAACATGTTTAGTTTTCTATTTTTTAAAAACAAAAAAAATGGTTATCAAACATATATGGTTTTTGTTTTTTAAAAATAAAAATAAAAAACCAAAAACTAAAAACAAAAAAAAAAACAAAAAACAAAAGTCGTTAACAAACGGGCCCTAAAGAATTTGTTTTTGTTTTTGAAATTTGACTAAGAATTCAAATATTTTTTTAACCAACGTGAAAACATATTAAAGAAATTGTGAGAGAGTAGCATAATTTTCAAAAACAGAAAACAAAAAACGAAATGGTTATCAAACAATGTGTTAGGGTTGAGTTTGGGCACCTTGTTACCTCTTTGCTTTTAGTTACATCTAAGTATTTTTATGGTTGGGTTTAAGTATATCCGTGGGTGTGTTATTAGTTCAATTTTGTATGATACCTTAATTACATGGTTCCAAGACCTGAGTAAAGCAAGAATGACGGGACGATTTAAAGTTCGTTTAATAACCATTTTATTTTCTAGTCTTTATTTTTTAAAAATTAAATGTACAAATACTACTATTCATGATCTGTTTCTTTGTTTTATTATCAATTTAAAAAAATCTTTTCAAAATCTAAGCCAAATTTAAAAATTAAGAAAGTAATCGTTAAAAACTTGTTTTTCTAATTTGAAATTTAGCCAAGATTCAAATGTATCCTAAAAGAAGTGAAAAACATTACCAAATAAATTATAAGAAAATAATCATAATTTTTAAAAACTAAAAACTAAAAACGAAATTATAATAATGTAGCTA